GAAACCGTGCTGTGTTCTTGCATCGTGAGTTGTTTACCATGGTGGGGGGGGGGGGGCGGGGGGGGCGAGGGGGAAGTCCCAAATCCCCGTGCCTGGCCAAGGCTGCAGGGTCCCGCGCCGAACCCGCCGCCCTTCCCTGCCCTCGGATGTGCTCTGGCAGCGCCTTTGCCGACCCACCCATTTGACTGGAGGCCTGGTAAGCTTTCGTGAGCTGCTGCTGGGGGACTTCAGCTGGGGAGGCCAGGTCGGCTCTGTGGGTGCCGGGTTCCCGCGCGGTGGTTGCATCCCCCACGAATCCCTTCCCGCGCGAGCTCCGGGCGACCCCAAGTCCCTTGGCAAAGCAGACGCCTCCCGAGGAGGCAAAGCCGTTGCAGGTTTGCCTGGCCCGGCTCTTCGGCTGCGGCCCCGCTGGGGAGCCCGGGTGCAGCTGGTGCCCTCCTACCGAGCCGGCTCTTTGGGCGAGCCAGAAGCGAACAGCGCCGGGCAGGGGTGCGGATGAACGGCCACGCAACTGACGGGTCAGCCTCCCTGGGCGGCCCCGCTCCCGCCAGCCCCCCTTCTCGGCCTGCCACTGCCACTGCCGCGATGCCCACTCCTCTTCCCAGGCCTCCCTGCCGACAGCCTCAGGACTGCTGCCCTCGGAAGCGCCGCCGGTGCTCTTTCACTAGGAAGAGGCAAAGGTTGGACTAGATGGTCTCCAAGGTGCCTGCCAGCCCTGCTCCTCCGTGGGCCAAAAGAGGAGGCGTTATTTTCAGGGAGAAGGAGCAAAATTAGCGGTGTAAGAAAAGCAAGGAAATGAGCTTGGTTGTCCTTGAACTGGAGCAGCCTCTGCCTTTTGCGGGGAGCCAAATGCCATCAGGATAAACCCGGCCCTGCCTCTCATCACCGAGGAGTTGGTGCTCCTAGGTTCAAGTCCCTCTTTCGTTTCTGTTGGCATGATGTCTACAGAAACAGCAAAAAGAGGGTTGTTTTATCTGTCTGTACCTGAAGGATTGCCTCCTACAAAATAGAGGATGTGGAAGTTGTATTCAGTGCACTTGTCTTCCAACATCTGCCCAGTGCTTGGAAGTGGGACCAGTCATTGCCTGCAAACCAGAGGAACTTCCTTGCGGCACATTTGTGGCATGACAGGCAGGCCAGCGTGATGCAAGAAAAGAAGGAAAGTGGTCGTTTAGGGCCAAAGGTCTGGCTGCTCAAAAATGGAGGCAGCTGGGAGCTATCGCACGGGCAAAAGCATAGCTGGCCCCACCATTTGGATCAAGCCGACCGCGTCACAGCAGAATGAGGAGAAGGTCCATCAGCCAGGCTCTCTATTTGCTAAGGAGGCCTCACAGGAACCCTCCTCGCCTGGCCGCTCAGGTGCTTTTTGCACATTGCCCTGAAAAGACACGAAGGTGCAGATCAGAAGAGCAGCCCAGTGACCGGTTCTGCATCCGGATACCCACGTTCCACATGGGGCTCCTCTTTCAGCCCCTTTGGCACCTCCATCTGATCATGATTGATTTTCTTGAAACTTTGAGGCAAGATGTGCATGAAAACTCAGATGGAAGCTAAACAGTGTTCTTTTAAGCAGCGACACTCTTCCCCTGTGACACTTATGCCCCAGATGTATGGTCCCATCCATGTATAGGTCATGGCTATGCCCACCTTGCGTCTTTGCCCCTGCCTTTAATGCCCTGCACAGTGGAGCTGTGTAGTACTTAACTTGGTCTTCAGCATTGTGACTTGATATGATCCATGTCATTCCCTAATGGGAGGGGAGCTTTGCCCCTTCCTGCCCGGGTAATGGGAAGAGTATCGCTTGTGACCATCCTCTGTGGTACAGAAGCATCACTGGAATAGGAAGCCCTGCAAGATCTACAACCAGCTTGCACACAGAGCATTTAGGAGGGCTAAACATTGTCCAAGTAAAGCTAATCTCCTTCATGAGTTCTGCTGAGCTGGAGAGCCAAGTGGACCTTAAGAGCTGCGTTAGGATGGAGAAGACCCAGGCTCAGGGTTCACTGACCAATACTTCACCAGTTTTTCCTTTGGGGAGCCCAAGTTTGGGCTATTTAATTATCTGTATTCCAGAAAGAAAATGAAAAGATTATGTCCCCCTCTTGGTCTCGTTTTGGCCTCACAAGTGTCTGATGAAATTGGTGACATCGTGCACAACCCTTTCTGCTGAAGGAAAGGACAGGAAGCGATAGCCAAAAACAGCGGCTATTCCGTGGACACCATTCTCTATGTGGCTCCAGGTCACTGGCACATGGTTGTCCATCAGCCGCCTCATGTACAGTAGCCCATCATCTCGAAGGACGTCGAACTCACAGGTCACAAGGAACGTCTGCGGGAGCTTGCGGATAACTGCATCTTCGGCAAGCAGGGGTGAAAAGGTCTGCGAGAGCAGTTCTTTCATTTCTTCGTGCAGCTGAGGGTTAAACTTATACAAGGAGGGGTCTTGTGGTTTGTAGCCTCTGACTTTGAACTGTTCAGGGATGTTGTTGACGTTCACCCACTTCTGGTACTTCAGTCTGGTGGCCTTGGGAACATGGCTGCCCTTCAGAATATCATTTATGTAGGAAGTTGGCTTGTTAAGGTAACGGCAGCCAAAGTAGATGACCAGCCTGCGCCACAAGAAGGGAGATCTGTAATTCTGCTGATAGGATGGCAAAGAGAAGTCCGCGGCCTGCAGCCCTGGATAGATCAACACCTGGGCATGGACCCTGGGAAGGTCACTCCGGTCCGCCAGTAACTGGCAAATCCGTGTGGCAAAATTAGCCCCACAGCTGTCTCCAGAAATGATAATGCGGGAAGGGTCTACACTGTACTCTTCTGCGTGTTTCATGAGGTAGATGGCAGCCTTCAGACATTCGGCATACTGGTTTGGATAAGGATTCTCTGGCCCAAGTCCATACCTAAAAGGAGCACAATATTCACTTACTATGGATTCTTCATCCAATGTGATACATTGACAAGTTCACGCCTTGCTTTCTTTTGTAATACTGTCTTTTAAGAAAGAAGTCAGTATGGAGCCACACTGTGGGAACAAAAGTGGGTTTGTTCTAGGCTCTACCATACTTAAATAACTAAGTTTTTATAAAAAGCAATGATTCAAGATAGTACCAAGCAACTTAATATTTTTGTTTTTAAGCAGCCTAATTTATAAATGGCTGTGTGGTCCCAACTAAAAATATGTAAATCAACAAATGAATGTCATAAAAAATAAGTGAAATAATCAAGAATGAAATCCTCAAAGATTTGTTAGATACCCAGTTTCAAGAATATGTAGGCTGATATCAATGAAGTTGTAAGCTAACTTCTGCAGTTCCAGCTGGCTAAGCAACTTATATTTTGAGCTGGTGGATATCAGTTTTAAAAGCTCATTAAATTTAGCTTTACTAGTAGACTTATTCATATTAGTATTTGTTAGTCCCCTGAGGTAGGCCACAGGTCCCGCTGGGGTTCCAGGAACGCGCTCTGCTGTTGGAGGGCAGAATGATCCGAAGCCTGAAAGCCTGTCGGAGTTTCTCTCTGCCCTGCCTTAGGCCAAACAGAATCAAGGCAGGGTCGTTCTGAGTTTCTTTCTCATACTGTCGTCTTTCTCAGGACTGCGAAATCTTTTCTGGGAGACCTCCCACCCCCACCCGCTTTAAGGGCTCACTCATTCCTTCCTCATTCCTAAGATCAGATCTACTTTCCTTCACAGTATTTTCTCTGTGTGTCACTGTACATTACTGTAGAGAAGAAGGAGGGTGACCTCGGTGGAGATACGCAAGATCTGTTGCCAGACTTGCAAGATTCAATTACGGTAGCCAATCTCAATAAAAGTAGTTTTAGCTTTCCTGTAGACATGATTTCCTGATCTGGTCTACCTAGTGGGGCTGACATCAATCTTGCAAGTTTTGTTATGTTGTACCTCCTCCTGCTAACTATACTTTAGTGCATTAGGGAGGTGTCTAAATTGCTTTCGAATATTATCCATCTGTTGTGGACTTAAAATATTGTTAGCTCCTCATTGCCCTAGCAGCAGAACTTTCATATCTCCATCATGGTCATCTTCCTTACTCTCTACGATTACTCACGAGAGTACAGGGAGTTTTAGTTTACAAACTGTCGGCAATGCAGTGTTGCTGCAACTAAAAGACAGATCTTCACTGGTATTGCTTTCTTGTTGGAAGTACATTCTGCACCAAAGTTGAGGCAGAAGCTCATCTGGTGGAGTTGCCAGGAAGGCACTAAAGCTGCCTGAAGCTCTTTGTTCTGCCTTCTTCAGATCACGGTTCTGCTTGAAGGTAGCAGAGGCCAACAGCGTGCCCTTTTCTGTAGCAGTAGTTGTGGTTATTGATCGTAAGAGAAGCCTCCCTCACGTCTTGTTAACCACGGTCTTCAGGCTCCAGGAACACCACCCTCACCTTTGGGCCACCAGTTACGATCCCCAAAGATTATGCTTGAAGGTGGTGCTGGGCAGAAAAATCTTCTTGAACTATTTCCTTATCAGTCTCATTCCACTGGATGAATGTAAACACCTTCTCTTTTCGAGGGTGGCTTCCTCTTGAGAAGTCCCATCTTTCCTGGTGGAATCACCTCCTGGCTGTTCCTAATCTTGCTCTCTTCCCACCTTTCCATTAAGTCCCCAGGGAAGACCTCAGGAAGGAACACTTACTAAGGGACGTCTTTCAGATTGGGAAATGTCTGTTCAATGAACTATGGCTAAAGAAACAACATGAATGTGATGTGGGTAGTGTGTTGAGGAGCGGAACTGGATAGACCAAAATCTGTCCTTTGGTTGCCAGTACAAGACGGTCAACCTTAAACATGATTTTAAACTCCCCAGTGCTGCAGATTAGCGCAGCAATGAGGTAATACTCACCCAACTGCAACAACAGTCGAATCCCCTTCTTTGGCAATGTGGTGCAGGATTCTTTCGTAGGCATCTGAAATGAGCACAATGGGTGCAAATTCATTAAGCTAGTGGCACTGGAGGAAGGCTTACTGAAGACAAGCAGTTACACCCAGGAGGCCACTGTCGCTGCTCAGCTTTTCTGTCTGACACGTCTCTGCTGAAGCCTGTCCTCTAGTGACGGCACCGGTGGAAAATGAGTGGCTTTCATTGTTCGAGCCTCTGTCAGATCATGCTGAGTTCCAAATCAGGGTTCAATTCTTTTCTTTTCTTTTAAACACCCTTCCATAAGCAGTTCTCGTGCACTTTTTTCCTGCTAGTTCTCTTTCCTTTTGATGAAAGACAATTTGCTTTTGGAATGTTTTTTCAGAGGACAATTTTAGGGGAATTCCGCTGGATGGATTAGAGTTAAGGAAATCAGAGAGAAAAGCAACCCAAGATTTTAATATAGCTGGGACCGTCTGCTTTCATTTTCAGAAGAGCACCAGTATGCTCAGTAAATATGGAATTGTGTGTTTTGATAAGTTTCATAAGTTTGCTATTTTCAGCTGTTCCGTTAAGTCTGTTTGGTGACCATCCGCCTAGAAAAAGCTCTATTTGTTTCAATTAGCTGGTTTAAGCATTCAGACCTATACAGGGCAAAGGAAGAAATATATATTTAACAGCATGGTTGATTGGATGGTTTATGTGAGAGACTGAGAGAATAAGACTGAGGGAAATGTGGCAGGTGAGGGAAGCATACGGCACATGGTTTCTGGAATTCTTTGCCACTCCTTCGTAAAAGCTCCCCTCTGGGTCACATGGTCAGAAGAAGCGGGGAGGATTAGAATGGGGGAGTCCTTGGGGTTCTCGGAGCTTGGTTGTTTTCTTGCAGACATTTTGTTGCCCGGGTAGGTAACATCTTCGGTGCTAAAATGGGGGAGTCAGAAACATTCCAAGCTGCTGCCCAACAGCCTCTCCCAGAGGGATTCATTTTGGGATTTTTTTTGTCTGCAGCCCATGGCCAGATCTGACCCATTCTGGAAACACAGTTTTGAGGGAAATAAAAATTGTTTGGGGTATTGGTGAAGAGGCTAAACAAGGAGCCTCCTGCAGAACTAAAGGAATTAAAAATAAGAGCAATGGAATGATTTGGCATGAAACTGAAGCATGAGAATGCAGGAAGAATCGTTTCATAGATCTGTAGGGAATAATAGTGGTCTGCTGAAATTTTAAATGAATGTTATAAATGTTAATGTCCAAGAATGGTTGAAAAGGATGTCAAAAATGCTGTGAGAATGTTGAAAAATGCTAAAGCTGCAGATGTGGCTGGTGTAACTGGAGTGTGCTAAAATATGGATATGGTTTGGTTATGGTGTGTAAAGCCTGTGTCTCTGGATAGATATCAGTACCAAAGCCCACATTTGCATATATGGATATTTGCATATCCACCCTTCCTTTTTCTTGCTTAAGGGCGATAAGCTGGACCATTGAAAAACATCCCAGGTAATGGCAAACCAATTTAGTAGCCACTGGTGGGCTACTAAAACACACAGACATGTTTATGAGGTCACCTGGCATTCCACTTCACTCACAGTTTCACACACAGACACACACGCACATACAACTATCCACATTTACCTGTTGACTAAACAAACAGCTCTACAGTGTTTTAGTAGCCAACCATCTGGAAGTGGTTTGTCCTTACCCGGGAAGTTTTTCCATGGTCCAGCTTATCGCCCTGAGATTTCCTAACCATCTTGGCTTAGCTGTCCCAGTTTGGCTTAGAATATGTCTCTTTTCCCTTACCAATGCTTCCAAAAATGCCAGCTCCTCCATGGCAGTAAAGTACAGCTTTTCTTCGTGTTGTTGGCACTGTTTTGGGCCAGTAGATCCTCACTGGCACCCCATCAAATTTCTGGTTCTGAATGACAAGCGACGGCTCCCTAGATGGGGGTATTCCGTTAATCAAAATCCGTAAGAGCTCAGGGAGGCTGCACAAACCCAGCTGCTCTAAAATGGCTCCCTGTTGGCCAAAGAACAAAAGAGAAATTAATCTGGGGAGACTCTCATAATCTTTGACCGCAAACGGTGAGTACTGTTACTTGTCCATGGGTACCCACAGCAAGCTGAGGTTTCCTCCGAATGAAAGAATGGGCATCGTGATGTGACAACACAGGCTCTGCCCCTTTTGTACATGCAAATATTAAAGGGGCAAAGTTTGTATTGCAATGTTGTGATGCGTGTTCTGTCATGTGCCTCCCCTTGCAACCCGTACCTGAAGTGCCAAAAGTACAGTGAGTTAAGATGTAGAAGGTCACAACTCTGGCTTTGAATTCTGTAAAGTGGAGGACCTCAGTCACCAAATGGTGCCCCCATCATATTGACGGGAGCTGACTGGGAGTGATAGGAACTGGCATCTCACACAGCTGGAGTGCTTCAGGTTGGGGAATACTGCCTCTTACTTACATATAGTGAGGGATGATTCTCCCAAATTAAGATTTTTTAAAAATCCTTTTAAAAAAGGACCCCCATCCCATTTTCTCCCAGTTCTGTTTATGAAGAAATTGTTCAGATTTTGCTACCTGGTCGGAACCCAATTAAATTCTCAGCCCTCTGCCCTGAGCAGGTTGAATAGGTCCAGCTGTGCCCAGGGATCACACAGTTACCAACTAGCTATGAGGACGAGGAAAGAAAACAAGGGGTGGCCCTCCAAATATGGGCGGATGGGCGAACCGGTCAGTTCCCCTGCTTTTGTTTTCAAGTTTAAGGAGCCAAGAAACCCTCTCATCCTTTCTGTTCCCTTGATGATGGTGCTCATGAATTTGGGCAAATTCTAGTCTTTTTAAAAAAAGAATAAATCCATACAATTCTTCTCACCTAAGTTCATGACACAAGGAAAGAAAGAAAACCTTACCAAAATTAATCCTGAGAGTAACATAGTCTGCAGGAAGCGGAGCTTCCGGGGTTGATCGATCCCAGGAGGTAGCACAGTTTGGGCAAACTGGATGACGGCCGAGAGCAGAAATACAGCCGGGTATAAGGCCCCTATGAGCAGCAGGCAGGCGGAGCGCTTCCACAAGGACGCCATCGCACTGTGCCTGGGTGGACGGAGGTGGCCAGGGCCGTCTCTCTTCCTCCACCTGGCTGTCCGTGGAGGCTGTGAAGAGCCCGGTGGCTGATCCACGGAAAAATAAATGGCCTGGGTTGATAAGGGAAGGCCTGCCTTCTCTTCCCCGAACCCGCCCATTATGGAAACACCTACAGGAAGGACAAGAAAGAGGAACTGGGGGAAGATGCGATGCTAGGCAGCATTGGGTTTATCCTTTGCTGCTATAACAGGCTATCCAGTTCAAAAATACAGTGGGAAAGAGGGGCAGATGTCTAGATAGGCAGACCTCTTAGCACCTCCTGCCATCAGCTGGGCACTGAAACCCTACCTGATCACTATATGGGATTAATCCCTATCGTTCTGAGATTCCTAAATCAATCTGTGTGTCGTCTAGCTTCCTCCTCGTCGTTTCTTGCTCTTACAGTGGAGCTCTGTTGGGAAGAATCACATGACTGTGGTTTGCGTCTGGAGATACTTTGGCCGTGGGCCACGACTCCCCCCACAAAAGGGTTGTGAAGAGCCCCTAGTTCAGGGGTAGGTGGGTGAGCGTAACCCCTACAGGCATCCAGACTGGAATGAAGCACCCACAACTGCCTTGTTGACATTCTTTCATCCTTGGCAAGGATGGAGGTCAGGTGGCCAGGTGAGACACCGGCCTCATTTGCAAGGGACGGAAGCAGTGAGCAATCGGATGTCATTAGTAGATGAAACAGTCTTGGTCATGGTAATGTGATGTTCCAGTAAAGTGGGTAGATAAATTAGATTAATAAAACCAGGGGCTGTTTGTGTCTTGTCAGCTTTGCCAGAGCCATAAAATACGATTTATGTATTTATTTATTAATCAAATTTATACGCCACCCATCTCACCGTACCAGTGACTCTAGGTGGCTTACAAGTAAAAAAGCAATAAAAAAACAATAAAAATCTTTACAAAAATATACAGTTAAAAGACGGAGAGAGCGTCTTCAAGCCACCAATCACCCTCAGTGCTACAAACCCCTTTGGGTCGCCATGCTCGTTGGCAGAGCCAGGTCTTAACGCTCTTCCAGAAGGCCAGAAGAGTGGGGGCCAATCTCACCTCGGGGCAAACTGTTCCACGGGGCGGGGGCGACGGCAGAAAAGGCTCTCCTCCTAGACCCCGCCAGTCGAAATCCTTTAGCCGACAGGGTCCATAACATGCCGTTCCTGCTGGTGGGATGGGTCGATGTAACTGGGACAACCAGGATGACGTTGGGATGTGCAACTTTTGGGTAGAATACAGAACAAAAGTGGGCAGGAGAAAAATAAAATTGAGTTTAATATAAAATTATACTCCATTACAATTTAATTTAGTAAGTTAGATGCAGTTAGTATGCTAGCTTTTCTTTTCTGTCACATCAAGATCTATCGAGGACTTTCACTGAAGGCACCAGGACTGCAAACTAGGCCTCCTTGGGTGAATGCGTCCGACGCAGCAGTTGTCTGAGAAGGAAATTCAGGTGCAAAGTCAGCCTTTTGACCTGTGATACAGGGGCCTTCCAGGAGGGACCAAAGGAAGGCTTTTGGTGAAAAATAAATTGTTCTCTTTCAGAACCTGGCCTGAAGAAATGAATATTTATGGCCCAGAACACAGGACATCATCACTAAAAAATGGGAGGTCCCCCAGCAGTTGCACTTCCTTCCTCGTTGCTTGTTGTTATCAGTCACCTAACACTGTACTAGAATCATATGTCTTTCCTCCAAATTAATTTAAATGTTTCTTCTGTTCTCAGCCAGGTTAGCATTGCAGCCTTCCACAAATGTCATGGTTTAATTAATTGCCAATTATTAAATACCCATCAAACCTTTGTCCAGTCTTCATGGGCAATCTGGATTTTTTAGATCTCAGGATGCAATTATTCCTACAAAAGTATAGTCTCAGATTATAGAAAATGAAGTCCTGTGTGAGGAGCACCTACAGATTTTATTCCAGGGTTGTCTCTTGCCACTTGCCCTGTTTTTCTTTCCTTTGGAGAATCTTAGGAGCAGAAGTCTGGTGGTTCCTCTGTTTTCAGTAGCTGGGTTGTGCTAGGTTTGAAAAAGGCTTGATCTGTTCAAAGTTGGGCTAATCCCATCTTGTACTTTTCTAACAGGCTGTCACTGCCTCACCCAGGTAACCGGAAACATCTATGTTGTGGGGAACTATGTTTGTTTATTACTTCGTGTATAGAACACCAGTTAATTTTTTAAAATCCATAACATAACTCTCCCCCAAAACAGACCCATAACATCCATCCTATGAAATAACACCCCTAAACTGTCAGTGATAGGGATGTCCAAACTAGCCCACCATAACAAATGACTACTCCAGAGGCGCAGGAGAGCCCTTGAGAAGTCTGCCCGAACCCCCGCTACTGTCACCAAGGAAGGAAGGAAGGAAGGAAGGAAGGAAGGAAGGAAGGAAGGAAGGAAGGAAGGAAGGAAGGAAGGAAGGAAGGAAGGATCCCCTCTTGGCTGGAGGGGGCAGGGCAAGTAGACTCAGTTTGAAGGAGACACTTCCCATGGTAACAATGAACTGAGCCCTTCTGGGTTTTTGAGGTTTAAACCAGGGCTTTGAATTGTAGTCGGAAACCTACGGGTAGGCAGTGCGGCCGCCCCGGATCCCCAGGGTTATCTTGCTAAGGTATCTCCCCTCTGTTGGCAGGTAGGCTGCTGCCTTCTGGACCAGTTGCAGTCTTGGAGTAGCTTTCAAAGGCAATTGCAGGGAAAGCCCATCTCTCATTGTCAATGAGAAATCCATAGTAGGCCTTTCGGTCACAACAGGAACCAGGTTCTTTGGCAGAGTCAGATGGACGATGTAATTTTTTAGCTGCATTTTTAGCCTGTTTATTATCACTGTGAGGGGAGGGGTGGTCCTAATAAAGCTTCCTTTGCTGAAACATCTCTCCAGCTTCAGGTGGTCTCCTCAGCTACCGCGCTTCCCAGTTTGAAGGGGCCCCTCTCTGAGATTCCTTCCGTTGGGAATTAATGGGAGGGGGACGGAGCAAGGTCTCTGCTTCTCCTTCCCTCTCGCAAACACGCAGAGAGACCGGCCCACCCAAGAACCCCTCACCCTAAAGAAATAACAATAAAACCATTTCCCATCAGATTGGATTTTGGCCCTCCAGTGCAGAAGAATGTGATGAGCATCGGCACTAATGATAGGCCTGCACGGGTGGGACCAGGAGAATCCGACTAATGATACAGTTCGGTTCGTATAACTACAAAGCGCGGAACAATTAGTCATCCTCATATCCTGCAATCCGTCTTTCACCTGGAGGGGCTGATGTCACAGGGAATGTGGTAATCTCTCCTGATACCAGCATGCTGTGTGCGAAGGTGTTTGTCTGAAGGGATGACTCAGGCGCCTGGGATAATCAATTAGGACACCCTGCCAGCCAGTCACTCGTTATCTGACTGTCAAGGGATTGATTTTAAAAAAAAATCTTTATTACTCAGGAGAATAATATTCTTCCCAGTCCTGCGTCCTCTTGTCTTTTCACTATGTCTTCATGGTCAGCTGAGAAAAGCACCAAAAGTGGATATTTATTTGGGAGCAAGGCTGTTCTTTGGTTCCTTTCCTTCCCAGCATGTTTCAACTATCTTTCCTTAGCTTTTGATTCCAGCTGTCTAGGGCTGTTTGCTCACCCGTCTGTGTGCTAAACACCTTGGGTTAATTCTCACTGTTTTGTTTGCAGGAAGGGTGAATGTGTTTTAAATGTAATGACCCTCATTAGCAATAATCCAAAGCAATATGAGCTTTCCTAACATCAACACGTAAGCTATTGCTCTATATTTAAACATTTCTTAATGTAAGTTTACCAGTTACAAAACACATTTTGCACATCACCAAACTTCCTCGGAACGTGTGTTTTCTGAAGCCATGCATCTTTCATTTCAAATGTTTGACAGATAATACACTGAGGTAATACTGTTTTCTTCTTAAAGAGGAAAGTATCCTTGTGTCAAATTCTTGCACATTTCTCAAGGGGAAGAAAGTAGGGAAAGCACGCTCCCAAAGGTTGAAATCCCTGTGCATTGTTTTAGGGAGGTTAGCAGATACTTTGAACTGCGCTGAATCAAATTTGTTTGGACCCTCTTTGTGTATGTGCCTGTGGTTTAGAGTCCGAATTTGAGATGGGACCAGTCGCCAGTAACGCGGAAACCGCGTATGCCCGAAAAAGGCGCGAAGCAACGGAAGACCCGCCTCCCGGCTCGCCAGTTGGGCTCCGCTCTAGGAAGGAGGCCATGGCAAACCACTTCCGAAACACCTTGCCATGGAAACTGCGGGGATTCGTCCAGGCAGTCGCCGCAGAATTGGTCACGATTGAGTGCGGATAAAAAAAAAAGATTTGACCTAAATCAATTTGAACTTGAATGAAGAGTGAATTATTACAGGTAGTCCTTGGTTAATGATGGTAACTGGGACCAGAATTTCTGTCGCCAAGCGATGCAGTCAGAAAGCACGATGTCACGTGACCTCATTGCTTAGCGGCAGCAATCCCAGCAATCCCTGTTGCCATCGTTAAACGAATCCCACCCGGTCATTAGGCGAGGATCCACCCCGATCTAAGCCATTCCAGGTTTGGTCCCTCCCAGCCCTGAGCTTTGGTTCTTTGAAGGTAAGGGGCTGCCTCCTCTTCAGCTCCCACTGCCTACCCTTCTATCCCCCCATCTCTGACCTTTTGGCCGCCCTGCGCAGTGGCACTCCTTGGCGGTGGTGACACTGGGGCTGAAATAGAGGCCCGGGGCCTTCAACAGTCTCTACTTCAGCCCCAGCGCCGTTGGCACCACCACTGCTGACGAGGAGTGCCGTCTCAAGCCCCGTGCCATGGCCAGCTGCCTCAGCACAGTGGCATGAAGCCCCGGCTACCCCAGCAACAAACCCCAGCCCTGTGGCACGGCATTAAGACCTAGCCCTGTGGTGTGGTGCAAAGCCCCAGCCGCCCCAACTACCCCAGTGCCAAGGTCCAGCCCTGTGG